TTGGCGGGGGCCCGGGTCTTTGGCATGTTGGACTTGGCCCAGGCGTATCAACAACTGCCGGTTGATGCCGCCACAGCCAGAGCCCAAACAATCACAACTCACAGGGGGGCGTTCAAGGTTCACCACCTCCAGTTCGGAGTCTCGGTCACGCCCAGGATTTTTCAATCTTTTATGGATTCTCTCCTGAAAGGCATCCCCGGGGTTCAGCCATTTCTAGACAATGTGCTGATCGCGGCTCCGGACGACTCATCCTTCGCTGACCGTCTGAGGGCCATACTACAACGTTTTGATTCAGCAGGGCTCAAAGTCAAGTGGGAAAAATGTCTCTTGGGGGTGCCTCGCATCGAGTTCCTGGGCTTTGCGGTCAACGCCTCGGGCATTCACGCCACCGCGGACAAGGTGACCACCATCACGCAGGCGCCGCCTCCAGCGTCCAAGTCTGAACTGCAGGCTTTCTTGGGGCTCCTGAACTTCTACCACTCCTTTTTGCCCCTCAAAGCTGCAGTCGCGGAACCACTCCATCGCCTCCTGGACAAGTCGGCACCTTGGGTCTGGGGTCCGCCACAAGCTGCTGCATTCCAGGAGATCAAAGACCTGCTCGTCTCGAATGCGGTCCTGGCGCATTTCAATGAGGAGCTCCCGGTGGGGCTGGCCTGTGACGCTTCCCCTTACGGGGTGGGAGTGGTCCTGGGCCACTGGCTGCCAGACGGCCGTGAGGTCCCGGTTGCATACTATTCCAGGACTCTATCAGCGGCTGAGCACAATTACGCACAAATAGATAAGGAGGCACTGGTGATTGTGGTGGGGGTGAAAAAACTTCACCACTATCTGTACGGGCACCCCTTCACGGTCCTCACAGACCACAAGCCGCTGCTGGGCCTCGTGGCCCCCAACTGCCAGACCCCTCAGATGATTTCGTCCTGAGTGCTCCGCTGGTATATCTTCCTGGAGGGGTACTCCTATGCTCTCGTCCATCGCCCTGGCAAGGTGATGGGCCATGCAGACGCCCTGAGCCGCCAGCCACTGCCAGTCTGTGACCCGGATCCTACTCCCGCCCACCAGATCGCTCTCCTGGAGTCCCTTCCGGATCAACCAGTCCACGTCGCGGAGGTGGCTCGCGGCACCTCCAAGGACAAGGTACTTTGCTGGGTCTTGGACTGGGTGGTGAGAGGGTGGCCCGCGGCCAAAGGAGACCCTGAGGTAACAACCTTTGCTTCTCGGAAGGATGAGCTGTCCATCCACAGGGGTTGTGTCATGTGGGGAAGTAGGATGGTCATTCCAAAGCCCCTATGGGAGCGGGTCCTCACCACCCTTCACGAAGCGCACCCCGGGGTGGTGTGCATGAAAGCCTTGGCCCGGAGCTATGTCTGGTGGCCAGGAATGGATCGAGATATAGAGGACGTGGTGAAGAGGTGCCAACCTTGCCAAGCGTCCCAGCCCGGGCCTCTCCGAGCCCCGGAACAAGCCTGGGAATCTTCCCACCGCTTCCAGGAATTCACGAGTTACTATGGTATCCGCCACGTCCAGGCGGCCCTGTTCCACCTCGCCACCAACGGCCAGGCCGAGTGCATGGTCAGAACCACGAAGGATGCTCTCCGCCGCTTGGACTCCCCGGACTGGGACTATAAACTGGCGGCTTTCCTTTTTGGCCAGCAAACGGCGCCCCACACCACTACGGGGCGCAGTCCAGCCGAGCTACTTTTAACCCGGTTGGATCACCTGCACCCCGACCCAGCCTCGGCAGAGGCACCAGGCACGGAGACGCATGAGGCAGCCAGGGGGTTCTTCCCGGAGGATCCCGTGTACGCACGGAACTACGCCCGGGGACCAGCCTGGATTCCGGCACGACTCATACAAGTTAAGGGCCCAAGATCATATGAGGTCTCATGTGAAGATGGGCAGATTCTACACCAGCACATCGACCAGCTACGCCGCCGGACGATGCCATTGGACCCCGAGGACTTGGACATGGCCGAGGCCCCGGAGACCTCACCCCGGAGCCACCCACTGGCGGCCGAGCCCCGGCCTTTTCCATTGGTCGAACCCAAGTCACCTCTCCCAGAGACGCCGGGGACGCCGGCACCGCCGCCCCCAGTGCCTCTTCCGGCCAGCTCACCTCCAAGGGCTTCGGGGGTGGAGGCCACAACAGTTCCGAACTTCGCCGCTCTACCCGCACCAGGAAGTTACCTGCCCACCTGAAGGACTTTGTCTGTGGGTGCATTGCGGACCAAGGGGGGAGGGGTATAATGTATCCAGTCTAGACAGCGTGGCCTGTTTGGGCTCCATGCGGTCAGGCACAAACCTCGAGCTTCGCTCCAAGAGACAATGGACTATGGATCCTAGCCCGCTCCAATCAGGGGGCTAGGTTCCTAAATAACCTATTGGGAAGAGGGTGTGTGTATTTTGGGTGGTGGTTTCTCAGGGAATATAAGTGTTAGATGCCTGTTAGATGGTTTAGTATTTAATTTCTTAATTTCTTAATTCAGCAGAGTTTAGCAGAGTAAAAATGAGTCTGAGTCCATGGTAGTTTCAAAATATAAAAGTTTACTAACAACCTATCAAGGGTAGGGTAAACAGGAGGTAAAATAACAAAGAGCTTTATTTCTACATCCTCATGTCTAGATAGACTTCCTTACATGGCTAAGGTCTAATGGAGAGTGGAGCTTCTTCTTGCTCAGGGACAAAGAGCCATAAAATGCTAAATAGTAACACTCCATTCCCCAATCAGAACAACAAACTAGATCTGTATCTGGCGGGCTTTCTAACTCTCTAAGCAGATAGGATACAAACAAACATGTGATTCAGAACACAGCATTAACTCAGTAAATACTGAATAGAAGTGTTCTAACTTGTAATCAGGGAATATAAGGCAGCAAGCCCGCCAAAGTTGTCTTGTTCCTGATGGAATAAAGTATGCTTTGCTGAAATCACTCTCAGTCTGTGTACTTTTCAAGCATATAAAGAATTCTAGCAATGTGTATACAGACTGTACCTCTTCTAACAGACACTGCGGCCTGAAGTTTATGTGAAAACTTTTTTAAAAACAAAATTGAGCTCTGGCCCTCGCCGCCGTCCCCTGGAGAACGGAAAAGCCCCCGCCTCCGCAGCTGCTCGTTCGCCGAAGCTCCACCGGCAACCAGCCGCCTTCCACTTTCGTTTTTCGATTGTGGTTATGACGCGATTTAACGACAGCAACGCCCAGCTCAAGATAGCGGAATGGTGCTCATCCCACGGGCGAAAGAGAAAGCGCCCGAGGCAAGGCGTGGAGCATTTATTCGAGAGGAGCTTTCCGGCCCTCGTTCCCTAAGCAGTTCCAAGTAGGCGTGGGTCAGGAGCGGCCGGTTGCTTCCTCCAGCGGAAAACAAAAAGCGCGATGGCCAGAGGATGCCGGACGGACTGCGTGGAGCGGCCCCTGTCCGGCGTGCTGCGGCGCCTGGGGGGCTTGGTGGGCGCCCACCCGTGGCCCTTCCTGCTGCTGCCCATGCTGCTCTCGGCCGCGCTGGGGGTCGGCTTCATACAGCTGCCCATCCGCAAATCGAACGACATCGAGGCGCAGTTCACGCCCCGCGGGGGGCCGGCCAAGGCCGAGCGGCGCCTGGCCCAGGAGCTCTTCCCGACGCGCGGCGCCGAGAACTTCTCCGCGCCGAGGCTGACCACCGAGGGCGCCTTCGCCTCCTTCGTGGCGGTGGCCAGTCAGCCCAGCCACACGCTCCTCACCCGGGAGGCCTTCGCCGAGCTGCTGGCGCTGGACGCGGCCGTGCGGGGGCTCGACGCCAGCGGGCTCACCTACGCCCAGGTCTGCGCCCGCCGCGACGGCTCCTGCAGCAGCCCCAACCCGCTGCTCAGCGCCGTCGGCGGCGACCCGGCGCGCATCGAGGCGCTGCTGCCCGGCCTCACCTTCCCGCTCTGGCAGGGGCGCTTCTTCTTGGGCGCCTCCCTGGGGGGCGTCTCGGTGGAGCCTGGAGCGGCGGAAGACCGGAGCCGCCCCGTCCGGGCCGCCAAGGCTCTGCGCCTCTACTATTACTTGCGAGAAGACGATCCCGCGCAGCGAGAAGCCAGCTTGAAGTGGCTGAAGACCTTCCTGGAGCGCATCCCCGTCCTGCTGGCCGAGTTGCACCTCACCTCCGTGCGGGTAAGCAAGAAATACCCGGTACAGAGCCCCGTGTGGCGTTTGTGACTCCGTGTGGCGCCTTGTTCCTTTAATGGTACCCTTTGTACTTGTCTGGTGGTATCCAAGTAGGTTCTGGATCCACGTGGTGGTGCGTCCATGTGATTCAGGCAACACTGTTGAGATGTGCTGCTCACCTCACAGGAAACACCACTGGTAATCATAAAATGCAGAATGTGCCCCCTCCCCCATTTCAATAATAATTTGTCTTGCGGAATTGATTTGGGCCTATTACATAGATGTCACTGTAATCATCAAAATAGGTTTGTAAAAAAAAAAAAGAATGAAACTATGGCCTTTATAAGAACAACATTAATAATGTCCCCTTGTGGATCATCATAAAATCAGAAGTATGGGGATGGGAGTACATCTTCTTCGCATTTTCATATTTGGGCCTGATAAAATCTGCTCATGCTAAAAAAAATATACAAAAAGTATTAAAGTACATTGTTTTTTCTCTAACAAACACAGCCTTAGCAAGCAGAAGTCCTAATTCTCCTTAACAAAAAGTGCATATGCATGTATGGTGAGTCATCCCCACTGGAATCATCCTCTCTTTTTGCAGAGAAAAAACTCAGAGTACCTCGGTGTGCACCGATGCACAACTGCCAGACAAAAAGGCTCTTCTTGCAGTGGTCTTTCCATATGTTTTCTTAGGTCTGGACATTTTGTAGTCACTCATCACTTTTTTTTTTAATTTTCTCCTCTTGAGGAGCAACTTCGTAACAGAACTTTACAGTGTGCCAGATTGAAGGCTTTTCTGTGGAAGCAAGTTGGTGTTCCTAACATTATTTGTAATTGTACTGGGGGGGGGGACACACCAGATAGTATTTACTGATTGCATTCTGTTTTTTAAAAGTTGACCTACACCTTAACAAAGATGAAATATGTAACAAAGTATCCTCCTTCTCCCCTCCAGGTGGCGTATTTTACCTCACTATCTAGGCAGGAAGAGTTTGAAAAAAATACCAAGGAAGTGGTCCCTTTGTTTTCCATCACATATACTTTAACAATAACCTTTTCGATTTTGTCGTGTTCAAGGTACTTGTTGGGGGAGGGGAAAATAATTCATTTCTATTTTTTCAGCTTGCAGTTTTGTTCTCATTAAGCCACAGAGGTGTTTCTATTAATCCGTATCAATAAGCACAAAGTATCTTTAATTCTTATCAGAAGAATGTAGGAACTGGTGTATAGCCCTTGTCTTGCGGAAAGCAGGCAATGAATTTATAAGGGAGATAATTTTAGTCATACGTAGTTTAATTCTTAGGCACATATTCTGATCCTACCAAACTTTTTTGCTCATGGTAGTCCTTAAAAACTCCAGCAGATACAATTGATGTGATGGAGAATCTTGTTCCCATTCACGAAAAGTTACCTGAGGTAATGAAAAGGAGGGAGGAGATGTGTCTTTAACTGAAAGGAGAAGCTTTCCAAACAAATCATGACCTACCAGAGACTGCCAAGTTTGACTCTGTTCCCGACTGGAACATGCATATTTTCAAACAAACAGAATCTAGATATGAAAGGAATATGCCTGCCTCTCTCCATCACAAGGAGTGGGTATAGAGTCAGTAAGCCAAATTTTGTGGCCTACATTAGAAGAAGTGTTGGCAGATATTTAAGTAGGGAGCGGTGCAGGTGAGTCTGGATTTCCTGTTGCATTGTCAGGTAAAAGACGGGATTTGCTTAATTGCGAATGGTATATTGCCCATCCTTACCAAAGCAATTAATCCTGAAAGTACAATAACCATAATCTAGGCTAAGGAGGAGTGCACCTCCCAACAAAGCAAGCCAAAGTCCCAGGAGAATGCTGCATGGAGGTGAAGTCTGAGATGCAGCGTATGTCATAATGTGACATGCAAGGGTAGAGTGAGGTCTACATGTCGTTTGAAGCAGTAGTTTCCCTTGGCTCAATACATTCACGAGATTCTCAATTTCCACTTCTGAACTATTTGTTTACATTTTTTATTATATCAGTTGTGAAAAATGTCTTTCACATGAAACACCTGCAGCTATTATTCAAGGTTAAGAGAGGTTTGAATTTAGGATTAGGGTTTGGGTAGTCCTTTGTACAGTTAAAGCTGCATTACCTGGAATACCAGCCCTCTCAAGGGAGAGGAGACTCTGCATCCGAGCCGTGGGCGTCACTGGGTCATGGGCAGTATCTGCAGCCCGCTGCTAGAATCCCTTGCTCCCTGCCTCCATACTGCTGATCAGCTGCATAGCAGGTGGACGTTTAAAGGGTCAGGGCATGTTCCAGCCCTTTAAATCCACTGGGTTCTGTCTCCTCCTCCTTACATGCTCTTTGGCTGTACACTGCCAGGCAGTGGGTCCCCAGTTTCCCAAGCTTTGCTGTGTCATTCCATAGATTTCTTTTTTTTTTTCTGGCCAGTTGGTTACGGTTGAAATAGGCTTATGTAATACTGAGTTTATGTAGATGGAATACTGAGGGCTGGAATTTTGTAGTTGAGTTTAATAAATAAATACATACAGGCTGCGGTCACACGGAGCATTTGCCGCGCTGACAATACGGATGGTGGGCGGATTTTCCGGGCGCTATCACACAGCAACATCTGGGAAGCGTAGAGCTCCCGTGGCTAACCCGAGGCTTCCCGCTGAAGATGCAGAGTGAAAAACTAGTACCTCCGAGGTACTAGTTTCTGGAAGCCGCGGGGCAAGGGCAGGCGTCTGATCGCGTTTCCGGTGGACTTACGTGGCATCCGGCGCCTGCCGCTGTTCGTCGCACACAAGGGGTTTTTTTTCCTCCCAAGTCTCCGCAGGTTGCGCAACAGCTCATGCGCACAAATAGCGATTGCTCGTGTGATCGTGCGGCACGGCTTCTGTGCCGCACTGTAGGATACCCATCTGGTCTGCATCTCCCCCCTAACCACAGGACCTCGACCGGGACGTGTGCTCAGGCAGCCGCGCGTTAGTTTCCTCCGGGGCAATTAGCCACGCCCCCCCCCGCGCGATATCCGCCCTGTGTGACCGGGGCCATAAAATATTAAATATGGGTGCCTAATGTGTGATATGTTTATAACTTGTTTTTAAAAGTGTTACTCTCATTGTGTTGGGATGGGGTGTGCGAATTGGAAGACAAATCCTGAAACTCTGTGTAATCTGTTTTACAGGATCGACTGTGTACGAACAAAGGTGTGGGTTGCAGCATTTGGGGTGCTGTCGTCGGGCTTGGCCGTGCTCAGCAGCTTTGGGTTATTGCTCTTTTGTGGGGTGCCATTCGTCATCACAGCTGCAAATGCACCATTTCTTATACTTGGTAAGCATGAGCAAAGGCATTTTGTTTAAAAGGACTTTGGATTGGTGTGCCTGAGTAGGCAGCAGAGAGAATTCCCATCCATGTCCTTAATCACAATAAGAATTTTAGCCTTTTACCCTGTTTATATTTTCCATCTTTATGTCATTTCTCCTCCAAAAAAAGAGGGTGTTTTTTTTCATAAATCTGACTTCTGTTTTGTTTCCATACTGTCATCTTGCTTTTTGCAGAAGTTGGTCGTTGGCTGACTCTTTTTAAAACTTTGATTCTAATTTTAGTTTGACGTTTAGCCCTTGAAATCATTAGTCATTTTCATTTTCTTGCTTCTGGTTGTCCCCGCCCCCCCGACAAGTTGGACACTTCCTTTGCTTCTTGTGATTGAAAATGTAGTTGTCTTCTCACAGACTAAAAGGGAATCAGTTTATGTAGTTGGCTGCTCAGGACTGGAACTCAGATACAGGTAACAAAGTACAAAACACACATAATTTAAAATACAAAGAACACACATGCATTTTTTAGCACAGGCCCCTTCAAAATGCTTGCTTTTATTTTATTTGCATTATTTATAGCCCACCCTTCTCACTGGGACTTGAGGCAGACCGAGTCAAATTGTTAATAGAGGCTGGATCTGGGCCTTGTTTCTGCTTCATAAAATTAAAGTGGAATGTAAAAAAAAAAATGCTTCCTTCATGTTCAGACAATGTACATTTATTTTGTACTTGTGTGTGCAAGTTAAAATGTTTTAAAAAATTCTTTTATTTTATTAAATTTATGAATCGCCCACCCTGCAAGCAGGCTCTGGGCGATTTACAATCTTAAAACAGTTAAAATACAATCGGCATATAATAGTCCAGGTGGCGATATAGACCCCTTTTGCTAGCTACAGTGCTGTCTGTGCAGCAGGGCAGGGCAGGTGGGGGTCATAGGAAAAAAAAACCCAGAAAGAGGGTGCCAGTCTTAACTGTTGTTGCCCTCAGTTAAAAGCCTGGCGGAACATCTCTGCCTTGCAGGCCCTGCAGAATTGCATCAGACCCCGCAGGGCCCTGACGTTGCTCAGCAGAGAGTTAGTTCCACCAGGTTGGAGCCAGGACGGAGAAGGCCCTGGACCTAGTTGAGAACAGCTAGACTTCCCTAGGGCTGGGGATCATCAGCAAGTTGTTGTCAGCTGATTTCAGCGTTCTTCTGGGGACATATTGGAGGAGGCGGTCCCGAAGGTACATGGGTCCCTGACTACTCAAGTCCTTAAAAGTCAACACTGATACCTTGACCCTGACTCGGTATTCCACCAGTAACCAGTGTAGCTGGTGCAGCACAGGTTGTATATGTGCTGTCCATGGCGTTCCTGCCAGGATTCATGCCACTGCATTCTGGACTAGTTGGAGCCTCTGGGTCAGTCTCAAAGGCAGGGCAGTGTAGAACGAGATACAGTAGTCCAGCCTACAGGTGACCATTGCATGAATCACTGTGGTTAGGTCAGGGTGCGACAGGAAAGGGGCCCATAGCCGTGTCTGGCGTACATGGTAAAATGCCGGTATTAGTGACCTGTGCCTCCAAAGACAAGGAGACGTCCAGGGTCACACCCAGGCTCCTGACAGAACCTTGACCTGGAATCTAGGGAAGTAGTTCCATGAGCATAAGCATTTCTGCCTCTGTAAGCAAAACTTCCGTCTCCCCCTCCCACTGCAGCCCCAAATGCCTCCTGAAATGATGTTCCAAACAGTTTGGGGGAGGGGGAAGCAGTGCCATTTTGGGCTACATCAGAAGGGGGGGGTGAGAAAATCATACTCGGTGGGTGGAAATCCTTCTGCTGGATTCAAGCTGGGTGTCCCAAGGTGCTGCTGATCTTTATGTTGAAGCGAAAACTATAAAGACATTTTGCAAAGTAAGTTCTGCGTTCCTTTTTCATATACCCATATATAGCATTTGAGTAGTGATCAACATACCGTATATACTCGAGTATATACGGTACCTTTTCCCTCTCTTCAGGGGTTGGTGTTGATGACATGTTCATCCTGGTGTCCTGCTGGCAACAGACTAAAGTCAAGGACGGAGTCAAGGATCGGATGGCTGACACCTACGCAGAGGCGGCTGTGTCTGTTACCATCACAACTCTCACTGACGTTTTAGCCTTCTACATCGGCATTGCAACATCCTTCCCATCAATTCAGTCATTTTGCATCTATACAGGAACAGCCTTTGTCTTCTGCTACATTTACAACTTGACATTCCTTGGGGCAGTTCTTGCTCTGAACGGTAGAAGAGAAGAAAGCAACAGACACTGGCTCACGTTCATGAAAGTGCCGACTGAAACTGAGGGTTCTCGTGGCTCTGCATACAACATTTGCTGTGTGGGAGGATCTTATGATGAGACCACTGGGGCAGAGTATGAGCATCCTATGAACGGGTTCTTCAGAAAGTATTTTGGTCCTTTTGTTGTGCACCCCTTGACCAAAGTGTTTGTGGTCCTTCTGTATCTTGGGTATCTAGGTAGCAGTATTTATGGGTGTACTCGGGTTAAAGAAGGTATAGATCTTCGAAATCTAGCCAGTGATCGTTCTTATGTCATTCAATATTATGACTGGACGGATGAATATTTTAAAGAGTATGGTCCAAGGGTTATGGTCATTGTTCCTGAAAGCATACCATATTGGAATCCAAGTGTTCGTGCAGATCTTGAGAACTGCATGCAGTTGATAGAAAACTCAACCTATGTTGATAAGTATTTATCAGAGTCGTGGTTGAGAATATATGTAATGATCGCTAACAGAATGTCTCAAAATGTAGATGATCGTCGCTCTTTCATTGATAATTTACCTATCCTGTACCAAGCGAATCCAGAGTCTAAGTGGGATGTTAATGTAACTGATCTGGAAATTTCAGCTTCACGATTTTTCATACAGACAGTCAGTGTCACTAGTCCAGTTGATGAGCGAAAGCTTTTAGAACAACTGAGAGGCCTTGCAGCAGACTGTAAAATACCACTGATAGTTTATCATCCAGCTTTTATATACTTCGATCAGTACCTTGTGATAGCTCAGAACACCATTCAGAACGTCGTGATTGCTACTGGAGCCATGTTACTTATTTCCTTGCTGCTGATTCCCAATCCTTTGTGCTCACTGTGGGTAACTTTCGCTATTGCCTCTGTTATTGTCGGTGTGGCTGGGTTCATGGCCTTTTGGGGCGTCAATCTTGACTCCATTTCTATGATCAACCTTGTTATTTGCATAGGGTTTTCAGTGGATTTTTCAGCTCATATTTCTTATGCTTTTGTTAGCAGCGAGAAACCCACTATGAATGACAAGGCGGTGGATGCTCTATACCACCTTGGTTACCCTGTTGTCCAGGGAGCTGTTTCCACCATTGTGGGGATATTGGTGCTGTCCATTGCACCCACTTACATTTTCAGAACATTTTTTAAGATTATGTTCTTGGTTATTTTGTTTGGAGCTGCTCACGGTCTCATATTTATTCCTGTGTTTTTAACCTTCTTTGGCGTTTGCCAGAAGTTGCCAAGCCGGTACAATGAAAATGCATCCAATGTTGAAAGAGGAACCCCTGTGAAAACATTTGAAGAAGATTCTAGTCACCTGTAAAGGCTCCCTTGTGCATTGTGTTGCTTGCTAACCAGAAGGAATATGTGCAATCCTACCTCACATACTCTTGCCACCTTGTCTTAATGTACTTGAAATGGTTGTTGGGCTCTTGTATTTGGAATCTTTGTCTATACTAGAAACCTCCATACTGAGTGCATTCCAATTTCTTAAGGCCTGTTTTACAAATTGGCTCTCTGGCATATATCTACAATTAACATGCTGTGTGGTATAGATTGTTCAAGTCACTGTTAGAATGCTTTCAGTGTTAATGCTGAAGGCCAATGCCTTTAAATCTCAGCAGAAGCACTAAGCTATTTTAGCATGAAGAAGCCCCCCCCCCGTTATGAAACAGCCTATATTGAATCTCAGCAAATGATAATTCATATACCATATTTCCCCTCCCCCCACCTGTAGTTTTAAAATTGCTGTGCACAGCCATAAAAAGAAGTGTAATGACAGCTGCAACTTAACCTGAGGAAGGCTTGGTTTTATGCTGGCATTTTAGGAGTCTCAGTCCTGTGTTTCAGGGAGATGGATACAAATGCTTAGATTGGCCACATGGTCAGCCCTGCCGCTAAATGCATGAGTTTGGGATACAAACTATATATATTATTCTTATTTCTGGTTCTGACATTCATTAATCTGCAGGTGCTAATATATGCTTAGTCTCACTGGGGTAAAATTTATAAAATGCTGCAAGGATTATGGATGTGCAGTGGAGGAATTTTAGGCCATTTATCATTTTCAAGCCTGTTTCTTAAAGGCCATTTGCTGTGTCACATTTCCCTTCCTGAAGGTGCCTTCAGAATAACTCCAAAGGAGCTATAATACATATGTAGTTGATACTCCAGTGTTGGAACCTCCTTGAGGCCTGTAACCACAGATATCAGATCTTGGGGGGGGGGGGGGGCGTGGGGTTGTCCTAGAACAGCAGGGGTTTACTCTTCTGTTCAAAGAAAATGACCAAAGATTTTGTGATGTGAGTACAGAGAATGCCCATGATCGCAATTTTCTTAGCAGTTTGCATGGCTCTCTTTCTGATGGCTATGCAAGACAGGTCTTTTTTCTTTATTTATTTGCATTTTATTTGTATATTATATATTTTTGTTTTATATTGTATAAAATACCAAATTCATATCAAAGGTATATTACTAAAAATGGGGTTTCCTTGTGAAAATTGTTTTGTGCATATGATTTAAGGTGCCTTTTTTTTTTTAAGTCTGTCTGACTTTAAGTTGAAAGCTTTGGTGTTATTCCTTGAAAAGGCAGAGTTCATTATATCCCCGAGTTTCTAAAATAAAAGTTACCCAGGTTAACAACTGCATTCCTGATAAATGCTCTTTTTCTTGTGTTGTAGTGTTGTAGGCAAAATTAATAAAATAATTTCAGGAGTACTAAATTTACAGCTGTTATTGGAGGAGATGGAGGTATGTTTATCTACTAGATTTTAAATAGCTGTGCCTTTTACAGTTTTATTTAAAATAATACAATTTTATATTTTTAGTGTCTCTATCTACTTTTAAACTTAAACTTGACAAGGTCTGTATATATGGGAAGAGCTGTTAGAATTCTGTTTTTTATTCCTATTCCATCCTATTGTTGGTAAAATTGTACGAAGCTCCATGTTCTGGAATCCAGGGAAAGCCAGTACTAGAAATTTCAGATGACGACTTCATGTAATAATTGCAGTTGCTGCATTACTGCTACAAATATGCCTGTCTTTAGCTTTTTTAAAAAGTTTAGTAATTGCTCCTATGACTTCTTAAAAAGTACCCTACAATTCCTTCCCCCATCTCTTTAAATTTTACTTCCCTTCTCCCTTATTGCTAATTTCTGAATTTAACCTTTTCAAATATACCCAGTTTTCTCATTTTCTCATTTGTCTGAATTCCAACATTTTAAATACTTCTGAAGCTTTACTTTTTACTGACAGGTGCTCAGTTAAATGTACTAATAAAAAGAGGTAACAGTCATTTTTTGTTACTTGTACCCGTCTTTATTTTATTTAGATAGGTAAAAAGGTAAAGGTTCCCTTGCTCGAAAGCCAGTCGAATCTGACTCTAGGGTTGTGGTACTCATCTCAGTTTCAAAGCCAAAGAGCCAGCGCTGTCCGAAGACGTTTCCATGATCATGTGGCCGGCATGACTAAACACCAAGGTACACGGAACGCTGTCACCTTCCCACTGAAGTGGTACCTATTTATGTACTTGCAAGTTCTTGCTTTCGAACTGCTAGGTTGGCAGGAGCTGGAACTCGGGAGCTCATTCCGTCATGTGGCACCCTGGGTCTCGAACTGCCGAACTACTGACCTTCCACAGCCTGCAGCTCAGCATCTTAAGCACTTGAGCCACCGCAGCTCCTTTTTATTTAGATACTTAATTCCTAATTTTGTCCCCAGTGGGCACCCAATATAGCAGACATTGTATTCCTTTCCTCCATTTTATCCACACAACAACACTGTAAGGTAGGTTAGACTGAGAGTCTGAGTGGCCCTTGGTCACCCAGTGAGCTCCCGTGGCAGAGTGGGCATTCAAACCCAAGTTTCCAGATCCTAAATGGACTACAACAGTCCTCTGGCTCTTTGCGCAGCTATGGAAAAAAAGAGAAACTCTGGAATCTCCCTTGCCCCTTCAAACTTGGGGGGGGGGGAGAGATCTGGCAAAGGGGTTTGGTGGAATCACAGCATTGCAGCCTATATGAATCTTAGCTCTAGAGTTATTTCCCTTACAATGATGCCATGTGACAGTAGGGTGCCTTATCACAGAAATATCTGGTACTAGAATGAAACAGAGGCGAAATTAAAGGCAGTGCTTTAAGGCAGAGGTCTCCAACAAGGTGCCCGTGGGTGCTGTGGCACCAGCTGATCCCTTCCTGTGGGGCCTGCCTGCCAAGTGTTTTCAGAAAGTGGTTGGGGTCAAGTAGGACTATTGCCCAGCAAACCGGATTAGCCATTGCTTTGGCAGCAGCTGCCACCGCAGTGTTGGTTTTGTTCTCTCTCACACTGGGAAAAAGGAAGGATCTTGAATTTCTTCCCTGCATTGGGGCTTCGTGAGTGTGTACATTTTACAGCCATTTTGCAGTTGCATCCACCACCCTGTGTCAGAATTCTAAAGGTGCCCCACAGGCTCGAAAATGTTGGGGACCCCTGCTTTAAGGTAATAGATTTTAGCATCCTACTTCTGAATGAATAAGGTGCTTTTTAAAGCACCTAAGTGAAAGAAAGCTTTCATTTGCAAGACCCAGCCTCCTGCCTTTCAGGATGCATCAGACATTTGGTTCGTTGTTCTCAGGTTCAGAATGAAAACAATATGGTCCCCAGCCAATAATTACTCAGTGGTTTAGTTTAAAAAATCTTTATTTAAAATCAATCTAGGTAAGCAATTATCACCACTGACGTTAGTCATTAAGAACAGGTGAGCAAACATGATGTTCTTTCTCTACCAAAACTGAGTATAAGAATGAATTGAAATTCCGAAGGTTCTTACCCAAAGTTTTGCAGAAAAAAAGCAACAGATTCGTGGGCTCAGTATGTCATAGGATGTTACCAACTTGCATAGAGTGTCGTAGATCACACCCCTACTGCATTGCCTGACTTTTACCATCTAAGACATGATGTTCCTCTGAGCATGCCATGATACTTTCCAACTAAATACAAGTAGCCACTTGTGTACTTTTTTTCTGGACCTAAGACCATCTGTTCTTAATGCAGTTTATCAGTGAACAATACATCTGGTTCACTCCAACCCGCTATCACTGAGGGAATGAGAATAAAGCAATGATAAAAAACCAAAATAAATGCAGGGATGCTAATATTAAACAAGCAAACGTAGAGAGGTTAATATACGGACTGCACGGTATACGTGATTGACATTAAACTCCAATACATTAAACTTTCAGTCTGATATAGATAAAGGGCAGGACAATTTACATTGTATAAAAATATCAGAATTCTCCATTTTGGATCAAGCCAGGTCAACAACAGAAGCAACCACTGTTTTGCCCTGTTGAAGATGTAACAGAAGATGAAAAGAAGAATGAGGAAAAAGCAGAGACATAGACTAGTTCACACAAGAATACCTCTTCCTGGTAAATAAATGAGTGAACTCCTTAGCAAATTATTGTACAGGAAATGATGTGAGGAGATAAGGAAACTGCCCTATGAAAATGCTCACATACATGCAACTCACCACGCAATCCTACAATTATCAAGAACTTGTCCTGAGCCCAAGAGCTATCCCGGCTCTGGCCTACAGGTGACAGGCACTGCCTTTCTGAGTCTGCTTTCACACGTGGTTGGATATTGCACATTAGCAGTCTTCTGCAACTGGATTCTCCTGTGTGAAATGATTGCTCTACAGAGCACTGAAAGGGCATTGTCCAGCAATCTGTGAAAGCAAGAGAGAAAAGCACATGCAGAAGCCATTGCTAGATTCCCCCATGCTCACTTGGCTTCACCCTTGGAATTCTGTATGTCAGTGCCTTTCTACAAGTGAGTTGCTTGGATTTCTGTTTTGGAATGAGCCCAACGTATATTAGAACCACACGAGTAATTTCAGGCATGAAATATAATTCAAGGTAGAAAATAACTGCGACTCCAACCCATAAAGGACCAAAAAGGAGCATTCACTCATTCAAATTAAATATTTGTGCAATAAAAACCCCTTTTTTCAGTATGGGATAATAGATCCATAGGTCACCTAGGCCCTAACACTAAAAAAAAGATTTGTATTGACATGATTTAATGGGGGATATTAATCTGTTGATTTACTCAAAGGTATCTGTGTAACCAGAAGGTTATTTAAATGAACACGCATTGTGTAGGTACAAGCAATACAATATAGATTTGCAAGTTGTAGTTACAAGCAGGACAAAACGGAGTTGCTCCACCCATCATGTGTAGGATGCAGTTGTAGTTATGCTGGTAGAAGCCTTCTGTTGTACACTGTTGCAGAAGCTCTTGTGTAGGGCTAGAGTCCCCATGCTCACTTGGCTTCACCCTTGGAAATCTGTATGTCAGTGTCTTTCTACAAGTGGGTAGGTATACCCAGGTACTCATGCTATACTCTATTTCTAAATAGGGGATTAGCAGCATGGCTGCTAAGACGCTCTGAGGTCTGACCCAAAATAATAGCATTAACTTGGAACTGCAGAACTGCTTAGCAGACTCAGCTGTAATAAATATGGTTTATATATAAGATGCTAAAAGGTGCTTTGTTGTTTTAACAGAGGGGGGCAACTGTTCCTACAACCAATGCTCCCTCTAAGCTGTGGAGTCTTGTGAGCAAAAGTTCTACTTTGTGAACTACTGGCATTAAAGTTGTGAGCGAGCGATTTGGCTGCTGCATTAATTAGTGTGCTCTGGAGCTATCCTTCCTGAGTGAAGACAAAAATGTGTGAGCCGGAGGCTAAAAAATTGTGAGCTAGCTCACACTAACTCAGCTTGGAGGGAACACTGCCTACAACCAACTACTATCAGCTACTTGAGAGTCTGATGTGTTCACATTTTCTTTCAAATGTAAAATCAGAGTCGACACAGTTGAGTAAGGATCAAGTATTTTCAGAAGAGGTATTTCCACTCTCTTTTCCACAAAGACACGCTTCTGCAGCGTAAGAGCTAACATAGAGTCCAGGCCCAATGATGTGAGTGACAAATGCACTGAAAGGTCACCAGGGGTTGTGTCACAGAGGCTGTTCAAAAGTGAAATCATGTAATCCTCAAGTCCATCTGGAGAGTTATTCTGTCCTGCAGCCACTTCACCAGTAAGTTCAAAATTGTTACTGGTCTCTTCAGAGACAAGGTTATGCAAACGACTCCGGAGTGACCAATTGCGAGATAAAACATAACTAGCTAAAGTCTGAAAATTGAATTTTGCCACAGCTTGCTGGGGATTGTTCAGAATTAAAATTTTTTTAAGGTATTCATGAATTTCATTCACTTGCAGAACCTCTATACCTTTGGCTTGTAACATGCTTTGAGGATGGTGTTGACCTAGTAATGCATCCAGGTTTAAGGCACCCCAGTTAATGGACTGCCCAGAAAGGCCACTGTTCCTCCTATAGTGGCAGAAGAGATCTAGGAAGGAATTGGCAGCTGCATAATTTGACTGTGTCGCATTTCCAAGAAGGGATGAAAGAGATGAGTAACATACAAAATGGTCAAGTGTCTGCCCTAGAGTGGCCCAGTGAAGGTTGATTGCTCCTGCTACCTTTGGTTTTAAAACTTCCTCAAAGTCAGACATGGTCAGTTTGTCCAGATAGCCATCACGTAAAACCATGGCACTGTGGAATACTCCTTTGACTGGACAGTTTGGAAAAAATTTATTGATCGACTTGATAGCCTTCTCAACCTCAGAACTGAAAGCAACGTTGCATTGCAAGGTGACTATTTTGCAGCACTCACATTGATCCTGAAGATTATTTATTTCCTTTTGCATCTCAGCATCCGGGTTTGTGCACGAAAGGATTGCAATGTGACCCCCTCCATTCTGTGCCACAAATTTTACTGTTTCGAAGCCAAGGCCAGCGAGTCCCCCTGTGACTATGTAAACTACATTCTGCTTAAATAGCTTCCTATCTGTTGGAATATTTGTTACATCTGACATCTTAATGTCCTCCAGATCATCTTTAAGTACTGCAACTGAGACACTAACGCAGTTGAAATAGGATTTAGCAATATCTGCTATTTCAGACTTTCCGGCTTGCTGGAAAATGGAAAATGGGAGATGTTTTAATTGTTTCACATTCAATGATTTAAGCCACCAGTAGATATCCTTCTGGGATTGTATCAGAGATGCTTTTTGAAAAATATGGGTAAGATTAACAGTATGGATGTGGATATTTTCATGACCACTACCCATCAGATGCTGCAGACATTCCGGCTGTTGATTACCATGAACCAATACAACATCTCGAAGATGGAAAAGACAAGTTAGAGCCTCTTTAAAGATTTCATTGAGTGGAGGCAGAAAAATTAGGGCATTACACTGATTAACCCGTTGCCATAAACCAGTCATATAGTTTGTAGGTATTGTTTTCCATCCTGCTTCCTGGGCTGAAAAAGCAAGGACTTTGCACAAAACTGACTCCGGCTCAATGGAAATAATGCCTAAGATTTCACCATGTTTGGGCTTTGGCAGTGTTTGCTGAAAAACTACCCATGCTATCCAGAAGAATGACATACATGGAACGTTTTTAAAGCATGGAAATTTCTGGGTATTGAAACAAACTGTTTCCGGAATATTAGTGACTGAAGCTGCAGAAACTGGATAGCATGAAACGATATGATCTCCTACCTTGATCTTTTTCACTTCACCACCTACTGCCGTTACAGTTCCACTGAAGTCTAGCATTAATAGCTTATGTTTATGTGTTGCATGTGAATTCCAATATAAAGTTTTCCCAAAGTTACAGCTGGAAACGCTAACTGGAAAATAATCTTCTGAATGGATGCCGATTCTTCCAGTTTGAACTTCAACACTGTGGCTACCAAGAGAAGTATTCAATCTGGCGACTTTAGCTGACAGATTATTCGCTTTATATGGATGTGATGTATACAACAGGCACATTTCTGATTTCTGAAGGGGCTGGGAAGGTATATTGAATGCTGTGGCTTCAATCTGGGTGCGCCTAATTTCAGAACTATAAATTCTTCCTTCATTAATCCACACTTCTGGATAATGCTGTGCTTTATACTTTACCAGAACATCTGCTAAGGCTGAGATGTTGGCTGTGCTTGTAGAGCTAATATCAATAATCTGAAATGCGCTTTCAGGCGCTTCAATCATACATGTTCTAGCCAGCCCATACAGCCCAAAGCCAGGATTTATGTGATCTACCGTCCCTCCTGATGTCCTGTAGGTTATTACTGTGACTGAACAACTGGCCTTCTTTTCCCGTAACGCAGTAACTACTTGCCGAAACGCCTCACAGCACCTCACTAAATACTTTAGGACTTTATCTGGTAATGTTTCATTTAGTTTTTGGATTCCCCACATAAACAGAACATCATGGTAGCCCTGCAGCTCCAGGTTCATCCTATCTTGTCCATTCGGGTCTGCTCTCTTAGACACCATTCGTTTGTCCCAGTCCTGATACATTACAAACCTTGACTCACTATGTAAGTAATTCTTGAGTTGTTGTGCTATTCCAAATTTGTCAGCAAACACCACAACTCTTGGTGCTTTGGGTAGATTTTGTGATCTTTCGTCAGACGTTATTTCTTTCCACCTGTTTTCAAACAATAAATCACTCTCTTTCCTGGGAATTTCCTTGACAAAGGTGATCCGAACACATTTCAGTTCTGCCAAAACAAAGCCATAGTTATCTATGAAGCCCCCGCAAAACTCTACATAGTCTTCAGTGGATGAGCTTGTTTTCAAATACAGTATCATTTCCTCTTCCAAAGATCGAGCCATGGCAAGGCTGCTTATGCCAGAAGGAAAGCCTACTTTGTTCCTGCAAGTAACTGTGGCTAGAAGTCCTGCCAGTTGTAGAAAACAATCTAAGAGCATTGGATGGATGTAATAATCAGACATTTCTTCTGCTGTCTGTCTCTTCACTTTAACAGTTGTTATTGCTTCCTTCAGCTCTTCACAATAAAACACATCACTTAGCTGCTTGAAAGTAGGACCATAGTGGAATCCAAACTGTGACAATACTTCATAGACCTTGTCTTCACTAATAACAGATCTACACCTCTGAAAAATGTCTGGTAAGGAAATGCTCTTTTCTTCCATTGGTATTTCAGAAGTCTTTGTGACTTTTCCTGAGGCACAAACTATATTAGCTGATCCAGATAGTATTCTGAATTCTGACACTGTTTTTTGTGACTCTACTTTAATCTTCAAATCATGGGAATCTTCATTTAAAATGCACGGTGTGATAAATGTTATATTCATCTCACACAACCGTAAAGGTATTTTGGGTCGTGAGTTTGTCAGTACAGCTGCCAGCGCGAGTTCCATGAAAAAAGCCCCAGGGACTAAGGCCACACCATGGTGGTTATGCTCATACAAATATGGTGTGAGTGACTTAGAGACAGAACAGGTAAATTCTGTGTTGTCAAGGTTTGCCTTGTGAATTAAAGGATGGCTTGAGCTTGCAAACCGACTAGCTGCTTCTTGGTTAATGTTCAAAAGTGGCATGAAGTTCTTATGATCAAACTGATAATTAGGACATGGTGATGGTACATTTTGATAGCCTTCATAGAAGTGATGCCAATTCACATTCAATCCCAATTCAAAAATGTCTTTTATAAGCGTAAGAAGTGTCACATACTCTTTGTCTAATTGTAAGGCAGGGAAAACTTGAGTTTGTGTTCCTAGTGTTTCATTGATGTACTTGAGCAATGCTCCATGAGGACCTATTTCTACATACACAATATGTTCTTTGTCTTTCGCTGAAATTGTTATAGCTTGTGCAAACAGCACAGGGTCTCTAGCCTGTCTGGCCCAGTAGCTGCCAGTGACAAAATCACCATCTGATGCCGCTTTCCCTGTTACGGTGGAAATTAGATTAATTTCTGGCTTCCCTTTCTTTAATCCTGATAGACTTTGGACCAACTCTTGCAGTACTGGCTCCATCATGTAGCTGTGATATGCAAGTGGTATATTTAGAACTTGAACGAATACATCTCTTTCATCAAAGCATCTGGATAGATCTTTCTGAACAGCATTGATAGAATCTGCATCTCCAGACAAGATACAAGACTGAGGGCTGTTAAAGGCTGCAATGCAAACCTTCCCAGAGTACGCGCCAATGGCTTCCGACACCTCTCGAACGGGGATGTTTCCAACAACCAGAATTCTCCCTCCCATGACCTTTGCCTGTAACCTGCTCCTGTGATAGATGACTTTGACAGCATCTTCCAGGGAAATGAAGCCAGCACAATGGGCAGCAGCGACCTCGCCAACCGAGTGGCCAATAACAGCAATCGGCTTCACTCCCCAGTGCTGCAGGAGAGTGGCCAAGGCCACCTGCAGGATGAAGAGTAAGGGCTGGGCTATTTCGGGCCTCGACAAATTCTTATGCCCACTTTCAGTCAATTCCAGCATCCCAGTGGGAGACAGCTGCTGGAATAATTGTTTAATTTCAAGACACTTCTCTCTAAATATTGGCTCAGTTCTCAGCAGGATTTTACATATCCCTGGGAAATTCAGGCCATTACCAGAGAAGACAAAAATCAGCTGTGGGGCCTTCTTGGATGGGACTGTTTCCTTTTTGGCTGCAGATAGAAGTTGCTGCTCTAAGTCCTGCAGAGAAGACACTACAAATGCTTTTCTGTATTTGAACTTTAGGTGGCTTCTTCTGCATGCAGATGTATAAGCCAGATTTGGAAGCATTACTGACTCACTTGTGTTCACACGTCTAGCCGTGTCTTCCAGTGCCAGTTTGAGAGAGTGCCCTGAGGCCGCAGAAAGGACAAACAGTTCAACAGGCCTTTTCATTGGGGGAAGAATCTGGCTTTGTTTAACCTGTCTGACAACAACATGGGCATTGGTGCCCCCAAATCCAAAACAGTTGACCCCAGCCACCCTGCCCAATTCACTAGACTCCTCCCACTTCTCCACACGGGTTGGAATGGAGAGGTTTAATTTCTGTGTATCGATGCTGCTGGTGCTCTCAGAAAAGTGCAAGGAGGGGGCGATCCTTCCATGGTGCATCATGAGAAGAACCTTGATTAAGCCTGCAGCCCCGGCAGCCGACTCTGTGTGCCCAATGTTCCCTTTAACGGAGCCCATCTTGAGGGCAGGCAGGTCGGGAGGCCTCTTTTTACCAAGGACGTTGCCTATACTCTCGGCCTCAGTGGGATCTCCGGCAGGGGTTCCTGTGCCATGGGCCTCAATATACTGCAGCATGGAAGGATCAATATGAGATGCATAAATGCTGCGCAGCAAGTTTTCCTGTTCCTGTTGGGATGGTCTGGTGATTGGAGTGACTGATCTTCCATTCTGGCTGACGGCACTGATGCTGATAACTCCCCATATTTTGTTGAAATCTTCTTTTGCCTGTTCATGTGGAAGGGATTACAAGGATTATCTATTATTTTCAAGATAAAATAACTATTGCATTAATTAAATCTATTGTTATTAATGATTATCTACCAGTTGAATTTTTTTTGAAATCTTACTCCTTTTCCAGAATAGAATCACCTCCTTCCCTTATTCTCTGTGCTTTCTGTGTCATGTTTTCCCCAAACATATGGTTAGCCTGTGAGACATCTACCCAAACCCCCTCCGCATAGTCCCACCATCAGCTCTATTTCCATGTACAGCCTCCTGGTGCTCTTTCTTTTTCTCAGATCACAACATTAATTATTAACATTTTCTACAGTGTAAAAAAGCCTATGCCAGTGAAGGCTATGCATCCCGAAGGAAACTTTGCTGTTAGATTCAAATGCTGTTCTTGTGTCTTTTAATCTGCTTACTGGTTGACTGATATTATCATATTTGTAATCTGATTATTGATTGGCTGTAATCCGCTTTGAGTCCCAGTGAGAAAGGTGGACTACAAATTATGATGATGATCTGAATTCAGAATGGGCTCCCCTAAGGGCCAAAATATACAATACGTGTCTTCACTGGATAACTCTAGGTTTCCTAAACCCAACTTCTTTCCCCTGAAGTCAAATATCATATGCAAGAGTGACATTTCAAAGATCAGAGGGAGCCTTTTTTGGATTGAACTCCTGCTGGGGAGAGTTAGGAGAGACTCAAGTAGGGTTGCCAATCTCCAGGTTTGGCTGGAGATCTCCTGCAATTACAACTAATCGCCAGATAACAGAGATCGGTTCCCTGGGAGAGGAGTAGGAGGAGTAGGAGTAGGGGATTGGATTTATACCCCGCCCTTCACTCGGAGTCTCAGAGTGGCTTACAAACTCCTTTCCCTTCCCCTCCCCACAACAGACACCCTGTGAGGTAGGTGGGGCTGAGAGAGCTCTGACAGGAAGTGTTCTTTCAAGAATAGCCCAAGGTCATCCAGCCAGGTGCAAGTGGAGGAGTGGGGAATCAAACCCGGTTCTCCCAGATTAGAGTCTGCACATTTAACCACTACCCCAAAATGGCTGGTGTGGAGGGTAGACTCTGTGCCATTATGGACCCTCCCTTCCCCTACCCTTCCCTCCCCAGGCTCTATTTCCAAATCTCCAGGGATTTCCAAGACAGGAGCTGGCAACCCTAGGCTCCTGCCCTCCCCCAAAGCCATTTCGTCCAAGTAGCAGTTCAAGCTGAAAAGACTCCTTCTGATCTGTAAAATGACACTCGTGCAGCTGAGGTGCGACTGCAGGGAGAACAACTTGGGTTTAGAAAGTCAGGGTCATCTTACAAACAAACATATTATGTATTTGGCTCCCAGAGACCTACTATAGGTTTGAGTCAGATCAGGCCAAACGTAGTCCATTTTAAAGTTGTCACAGTTTGGATTCCACTATGGTCTGTATGATCATTGGGAATTCTATCAGTCACATTTTGCAGATAACATAAAGTCCAGTCCTAGCTGGCCCACAGGCACAAGCCTTGGGTATCTTTTAGCCTGCGGCTTGCAGGCTGTGGCCCTCTGTGAGTTGTGCTGGCAAAACCTGTACCAGCCCTGGACATCCTCGTGATGTATTTTCTAAAAATGTTTATGTGTGTTTTTATTTTAAGACAAGTTGAGTCCCCAATGTGGAAGAAAACTGGGATTAAAAATATTTCAGTGATTACTCTCCTGGGTATTTAAGTCCTTTGAAGGAACCAAGAACACTGAGAAAATGTATTCCATCAGGATCCTGGCATCCATGGCACTGCTGAGTCCCCAGATACCCTATGAATCATTGTTAGTCCCTTGTGAAAAACTTGTGTAACTGTAAATCGCTCAGAGCCAGCAGCTCTGCAGGATGAGCGATCAATAAATCGAAAGTTATTATTATTATTATTATTAGATCCTGTGGAATTATAGTTACCAAGGCCTTCTTGGTCCTTATTAAACTATATTTCCCAGCAGGAAAGGCCAAGAGGCCGCAGTGGCAGTGGGCATGCCTGATGTTAGGTCTGGAGCTGAACTACCTACAGGCTGAGCACAAACTTCAGGCAGATTTAGGATCAACTGGTAATTAGCCCAGAAGTTCCAAACCGAGGAAGTTTGAGCATCGCAGTTCTAAACTTCAGGGGTTGGTATTGACATGTAAGAAGAACTGGTAAGGATTATGTGGCAAACGTTCCACATAAAAATGTTATTTTCGATGCTACACACGTCCTACCTTTGCCAGTGGCTTTAACAAAAGAACACCACAACCTTCTCCTCTTCCGTAGCCATCGGCCTTTCTAGAAAAGGGTTTGCTGATTCCATCAGGAGAAATCATCTTTGCTTTACTCAGTGATACGAATATCCGTGGATCTATGATACAGTTCACTCCTCCACACAGAGCAGCTTCACAGTCTCCTGTAGCAAGATACATTCAAGCACATTTAGAGGTTAAAAATATGGAAGTGACAGAATGGTGTTCCTGTTACATGGCTCCCAGGAACAGATAAGACGGAATAACAACAAGGTGCAAGGTCGAGAGTTTCTTTAGCTCTTGTGGCTGCCTAGGTGTTTTGCTATGAGCTTTGTCAGGGGATCTTCTCCAGAGATTTCACAGCTCCCACCTTGAACTGTTCATGCCCCATCCCCATATCCCACTCTAAAACTTTAAGGCAGAAGCCCACTAGGAAATTTCCCTGTCATTTAAATGCCAGTTCATTCCTGATTTTCAGCCAGCGGTGGCGTCGCTGAAATAGGTGGCTTTTAAAAAGGATTAGACATATATATGAAGGACAGGTCTATCAATTACTATTACCTATGATAGCTAATCCTGCCAACCTAGCAGTTCGAAAGCAAGAAATTGCAAGTAGATAAATAGGTACCACTTCAGTGGGAAGGTAACAGCTTTCCGTGCACCTTGGTGTTTAGTCATGCCGGCCACATGACCACGGAAATGTCTTTGGACAGCGCTGGCTCTTCGGCTTTGAAACGGAGATGAGCACCGCAACCCTAGAGTCGGATTCGACTGGCTTTCGAGCAAGGGAACCTTTACCTTTACCTATGACAGCTAAATGGACCGTCTAAGTTCAGAAGCAATATATCTTTGAAAACCTGATCCTGAGAGGTAAGTGGAGAAGATCTGATGCTTTCATATCCTGCTTCTGCGCTTCCCAGAAGTATCTGACTGTCCACTGTAGGTAACAAGAGGCTGGACTTGATCTACCATTGTTCTGATTCGGAAGAGTTCTCAATCAAAACATTAATGCAGTGTTTGGTAGCAGTTGGAAAAGCAGCAGGAAAGGCAAAATCCATGCTAAGAATTATTAGGAAAGGAGCTGAAAATAAACGGTAGCAATTTTCCCACTTAAGTGGTCCAATTATTCAATGTATGTTCCAATGAGGAACATTAACTGCTCGTTCTTCTAGAAAGATCCGTTAAGAGTAAATTATAAATACAATCTGGAAGAGTGTGTTGTCCATGTACTGATCTACATTGGCCCCGTTCACACGAGGCGATTTGGCCCGGGAGCGGGACAGTTCGGGGGCGGGTCAAACCGGCGCGATCACACCACAACATCTGTAAAGCGCCGTGATACCGTCCCCGAACTGGCCCTTTCCCGGGAAAAAGCGCCTCAAACTGAACCACCTACCTCGGTGGTTCAAACGGATGAGGCGCCTCTTCCCGGGCATCTGATCGCCGGCGCTCCCTTGCGCCGGCTCAAGCCCGGGCCGGAGCCGAACTGCGCATGCTCCGACATGCGCAGATCGGCCGGCTCCCGGTTAGAGCCGTCTTTTCTCTCCGGCGTTTGATCGCGCCGGGGAGAAAAGGCGGCTCGGCCCGGGGATCCGTGGGATCCCGCCGAGCCGTATCAACGTTGGTGCGGCTTTTAAAAGCCGCGCTTTAAAGGGCTTTTCCCCTGCCGTGTGGCAGGGGCCATTGACAAGCATCAAACCTTCAGATGTGCACAAACAGTGTTCACATTACAGTACGTTCACAATCTATTAATTTAAATTCCAGTACCTTGTCTAATGGCTTTGCAGGCAAAATGCAAAGCATATAGGAATGATGAACAAGCAGTATCCATAGCAAGTGATGGGCCAAGCAGATTAAAAGTATATGAAATCCGATTAGCCGCTATGCTCATCGCTGTCCCAGTGCCATCAAAATGGTTAATTTTGGCAACAGCTCTTCTACTTATAGACTCAAAGTCTCGATTCATTAGACCTGCAAATACAGAAAAACCGATTTTAAGATCAGCATGAAAGTTGGACAGGCAAACACTCGAATTCTCTGCTTCTTTAACCCGCTCTTTGTCCAAGGGAGGTCAAACTCTTATTCCCTCAGTAGTCCATGAGGTAGATTAGCTCGAGAAAGTATAATTGGCCCAAGACTGTAAAATGAGTTTAAGGCTAGCTGTGGCTTTCAACCTGGACCTCCTAGGACAATCTGGCATGACCAGTGAAATCTTCAGTAGCATTATATCCTAGATTTAGGGTTGCACTAGACATCTGCTACTCAACATAAAGCTCTCTTTTAAAGACAGGGTGCCTTTTGCATAGCCAGACTAATAATCTATTTAAGTATGGACTGAGAACAACTGTCTAAACAGAGCCACCGGGAGTCATCATGGGTGTCCAGATAAAGCATTTCTCAGGGCCCCCATGGAATCAGTCAGGACCAACCCCAATCTGCTATTAAAATATATCATACAGTTTGCTGTTAGTATGAACCCACAAGGACTCGGAGTAGAGGGGAAATCCATTGCACCCACCACCTGCTGGCTCCTTCCCTCTCCCCTCATATCTTCCCATTACCACTTGCTCCGTTACCCCCCATCTCCATCCATCGCCCCACTGCCACACTATCTGTTTGCCTTTTCCTTCCTATCTCCCTGATGCTACCTGCTCTATTTCCCCCTCCCCTCCCCCTCCCTCCCACTAATTCAATCTCCCCCATCTCCCCACAGCTGCTTGCTCTGTTTTCCATTCCTCTCTTCCTTGTTGCCCACAACTAGGCCTGTTTCACAGGTGCATGAGGGTACAGTGTCCTCTCCATTCTGCAACACTCTATCCAGCAAGGCAGAGACCTTGATATTGTATGAGGTTGCCTTGACAAGCCCAAACAGTGCTCTGGATTTCTCAGGAACCTTAGTTCTTTAACATTTTTTGCAGGGGTCATTTCGTAGAAAAAGAGGTGCAGGAGCTCATTAGCATAACTTATTAGCATAACTTATTTGCATATATCACACCCCCTGACATCACCAGAAGTGTGTCAGAAAGCAACACCCACTGCTCAGGCTCCACTGGACTGTTTTGGATTGCTAGCTATTGGGGGGGGGGAATGCACAGATCTGTCCTCACAGAGGAGGGAGAGCTTGTACCTGAAGGCGGGCCGGGGGGGGGCTCTGCAACTTACCTGGCTGCTTCTTGCTCCTTGTGGCCTGGCTGAAGGCTGCTTGGAGCATGGGCGGGGCTTGTTGCCTGTGCCCACCCCCTGAGCTCCTTACTGCCGGAGCTCCGCTCCTGTGCGCTCCTGCAGGAAATGACCCCTGATTTTTTGTGATCCTCCGATTTTATTTTTTATTCAATGTCAGATTTTTCTGCAAACCAGAGGGTTCTCCCAGTTCATACAATCCTAAACTATAGGCAGCACAGGATCCATTCTGTGGGGCTTTTTATCTGTAAGAGGGCCATTCTTGGCTATTAGATACAAGGACACCCTATTGTCAGACTCAGGCATTGGGCTGGAGTCCAGGGCTGTCTCCCTCTCCAGGGTTCCTTTAGTAGGGTTTGCCCTGGGGGAATCATCTCAGAGCATGAAGGTTTTTTTTAACAGCACCCTCACCTGCCCCTGCCAGGTCCAGAAGTGACTACATGTCCCCAGAAGTGACATCATGTCATGCACAACAACAGCAGTTTTTTTCCTCCCGCCACCCAAAGAAGTGGCAGCAGGAAGTGCAGGTTGTAAGTGGGAGGTCTCCCACCATAGCAGGAGACCTGGCAACTCTCGGATCATGCGACCTGCATGGACAAAAACCAAGTCAGATGAGAAGTATACGGAGGAGAAATCCATGAAATTGAGTGTAAAAGCTGGTTGAAACTAACCCTTTGTTTGTGACCACTGCTAAGAGGACAGGAATATAAACCATGCTGAGACTACTTTCACATTAATTTGCTGTTCTCAGGCCAGTTTTCTACCTCAAACTATTTCCTCACCCACAAAAACTCCAGTTTTGGTGCCACTGATGTCTTCAGGAGTGACTCCGGCATCTTCCAGTGCTCTGTAGGTGCATTCCAGGAGCAGCTTTTGCTGAGGGTCCATATGCTCCGCTTCTTCATTGCTAATGCCAAACAGCTTGTTGTCAAAGGCATTAAATCTTTTAAAAAATTAAAAAGTGGGGCATGATATAATATTCAAACCTGCACATTAAACTGGAGCTTATTCCTATATGCTGTAAATCGGGTTGCCAACAGGCCTGGCAAAAGGGTCCTGCACGTTTAGTAGAGGCTTAATGTGCACAAATAGGCAGTTGGAGCTTTTCATGGAATGGAGGTGAATAACTTCACCTGGCAAATAACATCCCATTAAGCCTGTATTAAAGGGACAGGACCTTTTCTCCAGGCCTGTTAGCAACCTCAGCTGTTACACTAGCAAACAGGGCTGGCGTCAGCACACCATGAGGTGGTGCTGCCGCCACAACCTGTGGTTTCTGGCAGGGTCCACTGCTAAAGAGCCACCCCCCCACACACACACACATACAGGGCCGGGAAGGACATGCTGGTGGTGTATAACAGCAGCGGTTTCACCATCTGCACACACCACCCAGCACCACTGGGGAAAGGATATATGGGGGGAAGGCTTATGAGTGGGCAAGGGAAGGACACAGACTGGTGGGGCTATGGGTGTGCTGGAAGGAAGGCATGAGTGGGGGGTCTTAGTCGTGGACAGAGGGGTTGAAGGGCTCCCTGGACAGGACCTCCCAAAACCTGAAAATAGCCCTGCTAGCAAATACAGTCATGCACATTGTTCTGTGGCAAAGAATTGTGCTGAAATACCCTGCCCTAAATCTTGTGTCTTCTCAGGCTCAAAACACATATAATGTGGAAGTGTGTACAAGCCACCAATCTATATATCCCTATAGATCTTCTTGGTAATATATACTGTGAAAAAAACACATATGATTTAAAGTGAGTAGAATGGGGGGCACTAACATTATGGTGTTACATCACTTCCCTCCCCCAAGTATCTGCTTGTTTTGCTATAATGTGTTTGATCTGGTCTACCCATGATGCAGCACAATGTGGTTATGAGGCAGCAGGACGGGATGCACCATTTCCAACTGCAGGTGGGAGAGTCACATTTTTAATGCTCCCCCAAGAAGAAGATCCCTGGAGATTTTAAAATTACATAATGCAGAAAGGCTCTCATGTAGCCCTTCTCATGCTGTGCTAGCCTTCCACTTACGGAGGACTGTTTATGTATGAGAACACTGAAAACAGTTAGCTCCCTCACCCATGGTTTAAAAGTGGTGTAGTCCATTCTACCACCTCAGCATGCATTTTTGCTCCCTTGGCCAAATGTGTGGACCGGGCTTTCCTGGGGGCCTGAGGAGAAGGAAGGATAAAACGAGACAACTGCCAAAGCAGTCGTCACATCCTGCCTCTTTGTAAAAATGACATGTTATTGGGCAGATGTGAGGGGAGCTGTGGAATCAGAGGCATACTTTGTGTGTCCCTGTCAGGTGCAGCTTTGGCCTCCGTTCTGCCTCAGCACCCCCTCAGATGGTGTGGAGATTTATTCTGTGTAACTCATCACTGTGATTGCGCGTCAGTTTTAAGAGACTTTTGAGGCTCATAAATTGGGAAATTAATCAGTCAGTTCAGAGGGAAAGTAACCCCACCCCCAACCTGAAAGTTTAGAGAACCGGAATGATGTATTAGGCATTTGACTTACTCATCCAGAAGAGCAGCACGGCTCGTGCGTGTTTTACCTGCTTTGCTGCCATCTGCATCATACCACTCTCTAATGTCAAATCTTTCTGGAGGTATTTCTGTAGTGCAGTTTCTGCCATTCTCCAGAACTTCCCAGAAACTGTCAATTCCTTCACCTGTTGCATCAAGATTTTTTTTTAAGTTAAAGATTTAAACTTCTTTACTTGTCTTTATTTACAAAAGGTCTCACTTCAGGATCTCTTCTTCAATCCATATATAATCTTCATGAGAAGGCTTAATTTTTTGAATGTAGCCCAAATTAAAGTGGATAGATCCAATGAAATTTGAGTTTATTTTTAAAAGTCTGTTTTTGCATAAGTGTAGTTTTGGTTCACGATACTATTAGCCCATTTCACATCTGATAATTTGCAAGCCTCACATACATCTCCACTCTCTAAGAATGAGAAAAGATATGAAAGTCCTCATGGCAGACCTGAAGACTTTGCAATATGTAGCTTGGAGAGTACTCTACTAAAAATAGCTACTATAGATAGAGCGACAAAGTGAAAGTAGATTATCTATCTGCCTGCACACCCGTCTCTCTCTTTAAAGAATAAAATAAAATAAAGTGAGAAATAAACAAACAAATAAAAGAGAAACAGTGAGAAAAATCCCCTCGGTTTCTTCACTTTTTCTACTCCACTATGCTAAAATCAGAGAAGTCCCAACCTGTGTACTCTTTAATGTCTAAGGGATTAATTCAAAATATCACAGAACATCACATATCCATTCTGATATCAAGTATCAGATGCAACTCTTAAAGCCTTCTAAGAAGATCTTACAAACACCTCTCAGCAACTACAGCTGAGTTTTTTTAAAAAAAACTTGAAATCACAACAAGTGAATTGTGCAGTTCTTTCTGAAGGAACCCTGCTGAATAACCAACAAAATAGTAAAAGCAATACCTTATATATTTATATATTATTTCTTATATATTTATATATTATATACTTGTTAAAATAGACAACATTTGAAGGAAGCCATGTTGGTACACATAACAATTTTTTAAAATAATGTCATATCGTTTATTAGGGTTAATCAAAATACCACAGTGAGCAAGCTTTTGAGTACTCCAGAACTGTTCATTAGGCTAAATGTTCAATATCAAATAAGAGCAGGGCGGGGGAGAGAAAGGGGAATGTATTTCAGATAATAATGGAGCAGCTACACCTTGTCTGCACCTTGTAGATTCTTAAAATGCATTTATATCTGTTAATGTTTTATATTTTACACTCTGGCTGAGTTTTTAATGCTTGTATTTTTATGTTTTTATTGTCTTTTGATTTGTAAAAGCAAGCTTAGGAAGACTTATTTATTTTATTTTATTTATTTATTTATTTTATTAGATTTATATACCGCCCTCCCCAGATGGGCTCAGGGCCGTATCCAACAGTTAAATAATACAATTAGAACAATATTAAAATAACAATTTACACATAAAATATCATAAAATACCGTGCTTCCTGGAGACATAGCATAAAATCCTAACTACTAAGTAATCCTCTTCCCCTTTTTGTACTGAACATTCACTTGCTCACTGTTTGGTAAGATTTTGGTTGTGTCTAATGAAAGGAGATATATGACTTTTAGCTCTGGAATTATTGGGCTGAATCAGGAACTAAATTTCCAGTTACCATCCCACTAAAATGCTGTTCCTGGCAGATAGCAGAACTCATTGCTTATATTATTCTAGGTGCAATATTTTTGCGTATTACAGACTTACCTCCTGGAAAGTTGCATCCTATCCCCACAACAGCAATGTCATCTTCGGCTGCCATCTTTATTGGAATTTCCTATTTCTGTCTGTCACTGATCAGTACAGTCAACCTATTGAAGGTGAAGAGTATAAAATAAAATGGTATGGTGAGTGGAGAACTGTGCATGCTATTCTGAGTTCCTTGGAGAAGTGGATGGCTACACATATACTAGAGAGAGGGAGAGAGAGAAAAAGAGAGAGAGAGAGAGAGAGAGGGTTGTGTGGGCAGATAGATAATCTACTTTTACTTTTTCGCTCTATACTTCACCTTTAAGTATCCATACCAGCAATTTATTAGTAGAGTACTCTCCAAGGTACATGTTTCAAAGTCTTCAGGTCTGACATGAGGACTTTCACTGTAAGTTCCCCCCAGGCACATGAGGCCTGATTTGGACTGGGACTCTACCATGGGGAGGGCAAAATGTTTAAGCATTCACCACACCATTTTCTTGACCTGAAGTGGCCCAAGGAGGCATAATAATAATTATTAATTATCATATGGCAGTATGCGAAGTATAGCCAAGAGAGCCTAAGATTGTCTGGCAGCCAGAAGTTCCAGGGGTTATTATTTGCTCAGATGGGGACTCCATGTATACTTATGTGGTATGTATAGGTTTCCTGAGGGGGCAAATAGTACCACCAAGTCCATTTTATGTCAAGAAAATATTGGAAGGTCGTTTAAGCATTCTCTTTCTCCAGATGCCATGGTCCTTAACAAATCAGGTTCTCACACACCTGGGAATTGAGTTTCCAGCAGGTAACTTACAACATATGTAAAACTGGAAGCCCTTGTGGCAGACCCAGACATAACCCAAGTACTTTGCAACATGAAGTTGGCCCCCCACTAGAGTTGCCAGCTGTGACTCTGGAAATTCCTGGTGCCAGGAAGGGCAGAACTTGGAGAGGGTAGGGATCTCAACAGGGTTGTGATGTCAGTCTGGTATGTCCATCTTTCCTAGCCTGTATGGCATATCACTGAGTTTGCTCTACGAATTTGTCCTTTACTCCAGGAGAATTTATCTCTATAGGCTGGAGGTCAGTAGCAGTTCCAGGAGCACTCCAGACCCCACCTGGAGGGTGGTAACTCAAAATAAGGACAACCTCTTAAGGACCACCTCTTCCCATACAGAACTCATATTACCTACATGAACTCTCAGATCTACCCATACCAGAGAATGAGTCCACTTTTGAATGGTCCTTCTTAAAGGCTCCAGATTAGCACAAAATGGAGAATGGTTCTACCCTGTCTTTGTTTCTAATACTATTTTTCTTTTCATGGGGAATTTTTAACACATGAGAGCATTCTAAAATGTGACCCTCCACCTATAATTTGAAGTGGTGTCATTCTACCCCCACAGGCCTTGGCTACCTTACTGCCACTAACTCCCCTGTATGTGAACTCTGTAGTCCTCTATATTACTCAGGTGCAGTGGGTCTGGACATGAGGCCTTTGTGGCACCACAACGAGACCAAGTTCTTCCAGGTTAATCTGTCTATTTGCATAATTGATGACGTTCTGGGGACCAGTATGTGCTGAACTTAGCATCTCCCCTTATGTTTTGTTTTTAAATGTGATTAATTCTGTTTGTTGGTTGCTGACTGGGTTCTTTTAGATTATATGTTGTTTTAATGTTTTAATATGCTTGCTGGAACTGTCCAGATTTCTTTTGATAAAACAGTGGAATATAAATATTTTAAATTAAATTTAAAATAATGTGTGATGTTGTAGTGTGGTGGTTAGGGATGGGCACAAACTGGGAGAATGTGGTTCAGTTCATGGCATGCCTTGTCCGTGAATCACGGACCATCACAAATTCCCCCCCGATGTGCTAGAGACATCAAATTTGCAGGGGGTCTCCAGGTAGAGGAGAGTCAGCTGAAGATCTCCTATGAGTTTGGTGTCTCTAGTTTGCACAGGATCTATTCTATACACTCCTAAACCTCTTGATCCTGCCCCTGTAAAAATTAACATAGGTTCAGAAGCTCCAGGAGTGCATAGAATGGCTCCTGTGCAAGCTAGAGACACCAAATTCACATGGGATCTCTGGCTGACTGTTCTCTACCAGCCTTCCTAGTTTGGTGTCTCTAGCTCACACAGGATCCGTTCTATATACTTCTGAACCTGTGCTTGTCAGAATGACCTTCCTATCAAAACGATCTTCCTGATCCTTCTATAGCAGCTGCTGCAATTGTATCTGTGGAACCTTTTGTCATTCAAATGAGGGCAGCCAATACAAAGCCCTGTTTTACAAAGGCCCCACCCACTTCAGGGGAAGTTACAGGTTGGCGCCTTGACACCCATGGGAACTGCATTGGGGAACCCTGTTCTGGACAACAAAGCCTGCGATGAGCAGCTGATGCAAGAAAGTCTGAAGTGTGTGTTGGCAGAGGTAAAATAGAGGCTGATGTATGAATAGATATGAAGCCCCACAGAGAAGGTTGTGGCTGCATGTTGAATAGGACGTGTGTATGGCTGCTGAGGGGGACAGAATCAGCAGTCTCTTCTGAGCCCTGAAACAGTGGACAGAAAGCAAGGCTCTTTTATCATGGTTGGATAGGCTTAACATTATTAAATCCTTCATTCTGCCTAAATTTATTTTTATTTTTTGTACTGTGGTAAGAAATATTAAAATATAGAAGAAGGTTTGGGTTTAAAATGAACCAAATAAGTTTATGAAATCCATATACAATATCTGGCTCTGCCCTGGCTAGAAAAAGAAAAAAAACAGGCGTGACCTTTCTTTCACTGAGGAGGTAACATATTCAATTCCCAGGGAAACTCCACAGATGTGAAACTTGCCAATAACCCCAATTTCCTAGACAATAAGATGTATGGTCATTTGACCAGCTGGCAAGACAAGCTAATTTCCTGAAATACAGAGGGTTCACACACACACCCTGCTTTCATCTCTCTGATAAACATCAAAGCACAGTTTATTTCCCTGATTGGGGAACACCTGGAAGAAACAATGACACTGTATTGATCCTTTTGGAATGTGAACTCTTGTTGTGTGCAACCAAGGAAGGAAAACAAAATTTCCTGTAAAACAGTCTCAACTTCTAAATGTTAATTTACACCTGTAATCCAGTTATTAAGGGATCCCTTTGATCTCGGGTATAAATATGGAGTGGTTTTACAACACAACTTAGCTGACTCCAAAGGAGACAGCCAGAGACAGAGGCCTCTCGACGCGCTTGCATGGGGTGGGAAAAACTTTGCTTTGCATGTTTATTTTTCTGTGTGTATTATATCAAATTATATCAAATGTTTAGGAATTAGAACTCTGAATGTTTTGCTATAATAAAGATTAGTTTATTTTAGTGATTTCCAAGCTTGCACATCTGCCTTTGGTACGGGGCGACACTCAGGAGACACACACGAACTGAGGGGGGAGTGTGGGTGACATGGGTAAGCACGCTTTCACAGACAATGTGCAGACACACACCCACACCTCCAAAAATCTCACAACACGTACCATCCCAATTTTTATCAGTACGGCACAAATATACAAGTGGCGATCAATGCTCTTAGATTTCTTTTGGGCATACAAACATCACAGAATTAAAAGTACTACATTGTACAGATGCTCGGCGAAAGGAGGTATAAACGTCCCTAATTTACTGTTCTATTATAAAGCCATACATATCTCACAGTTGATGTTTGCTGGCTCGGAATCAGATCAGACCAAACAATATGCTGCCTATACTACTCCTTTTGATGTTCAGGAGGTTATATGGCAAAATGCCACTAGCAGGCCCAAACAAGTTCGCTCTATTCCCTTGCTGTCAGCAATGCTGGCTACGTGGGATCGGATGAAAAAATTGTTGTTGCCACCTAATTCTCATTACCAGACATTTATAAACCAAGAGTGGTTCCAGCCAGGCCTTCATAATCCTGTATATAAACACTGGAAAAGTGCCAATATTATCACCCTCCAGGACCTTACTGCTAAGAAGCTGCTGTTGCCTAAGATAACTTTAGAAGCTAAATTACAAAAAAATATATACCCTGGCTGCAGTATCTACAAATATCCCATATGTGCTCCCAAATTCATCTTGAATCCTTACTAAAGGAACCGCTTACTGCGCTTGAAGCGATTATTGCCGTTGCCAGTGTCTCACAGAAAGGTCTGATCTCTAAAGTGCATAAAGTGGTTTTTTTCCTGAAAGATGCAGAAAACACCCACACCTCCAAAAATCTCACAACACGTACCATCCCAATTTTTATCAGTACGGCACAAATATACAAGTGGCGATCAATGCTCTTAGATTTCTTTTGGGCATACAAACATCACAGAATTAAAAGTACTACATTGTACAGATGCTCGGCGAAAGGAGGTATAAACGTCCCTAATTTACTGTTCTATTATAAAGCCATACATATCTCACAGTTGATGTTTGCTGGCTCGGAATCAGATCAGACCAAACAATATGCTGCCTATACTACTCCTTTTGATGTTCAGGAGGTTATATGGCAAAATGCCACTAGCAGGCCCAAACAAGTTCGCTCTATTCCCTTGCTGTCAGCAATGCTGGCTACGTGGGATCGGATGAAAAAATTGTTGTTGCCACCTAATTCTCATTACCAGACATTTATAAACCAAGAGTGGTTCCAGCCAGGCCTTCATAATCCTGTATATAAACACTGGAAAAGTGCCAATATTATCACCCTCCAGGACCTTACTGCTAAGAAGCTGCTGTTGCCTAAGATAACTTTAGAAGCTAAATTACAAAAAAATATATACCCTGGCTGCAGTATCTACAAATATCCCATATGTGCTCCCAAATTCATCTTGAATCCTTACTAAAGGAACCGCTTACTGCGCTTGAAGCGATTATTGCCGTTGCCAGTGTCTCACAGAAAGGTCTGATCTCTAAAGTGCATAAAGTGGTTTTTTTCCTGAAAGATGCAGAAATGTTATCTTACCAAAATATGTGGCATAAAGCCTGTAGCCGTGCTCTCTCAGATGAAGCATGGGATCGCATCTGGACATCTCCTCCATTCCACTCTAAAATTACTTC